TATTCCTCAGTACCAGACTTGGATTTAGAAGAAGTCTTGTGTTTTATCATCACATTTTCCATCTGGATATTTCCAGAAATACTGGAAAATAAACTCATAATGGCAAAAATACTGTTACCTAATTATCTGAATATATACAAATCCCATTTGTTATTTCATTTATTTATTCTGTTTCATCACTAAGTCTTGAAACTATAAAATTAATATGTAATATACAAGAGTAAAATGTACAGAAGTACCATTAAATGTAATAATTTAAACCATCTGTATTCAGAAAGTGGAGATAACAAGTTTAAACATATACAAACATTGCAAATCAGTTTTAGCTGAATTTCTCAGTATCTAGGAAAAAGAAGTGGCTTTGCATCATTAAACTTTATTTTAATTATTGTGAAAATGTCTTTTTTAGAGTCGGTTTTGTTACTTTTTTAATTAAAATTATTTTGTAAATATTGTTTTCTATGTTTTATACCTTGGAAAGGCTGCTAATTTGCATTGACAGCAGCAGATCTCAACACAATGATTAAAAATCTGCTTTAAGACACCCGTATGCCTGTGCTTGGCAGTGAGATTCATCCTCCTGTCATTTCTGCAGGCTCACTGGGGTCGTAGAACAGCCTCGCTGGGGCAGCTTAACCCACAGAATTGACTAATTTTCACAGAATTGACTATCAAGTGTCATTCTGAAGTGCTTACTGTTTTCCTAACGTATAAAGAGTATGTATTTTAAAGTTAGTGCTAGGTCTTATTGCATTGTTAGATAAGGAACAACATAAAATTCAGAAATAAAAGGGAGTTCAAAATATTATGCCTGAACATAGCATGAAGCCAACAGTTTGGTCTATCTGTGCTCCTACGTAGAAAGGGAGTGATAAAACCACATCTTGGATTTGATCATAGAGCCCTTTTTAGGCAAAACAAATGCCACCGAGGTCCGTGAGGGTTTCTCATATGTAAAGTTCATTATGATCCTGTCCATCAGTTAAAGAGTATTTCTGGTAGACTAGATTTGGGGAAAAAGTATCCAGATGTGTAATACTGCTTTCTGTACTGACTTGCTATGTGTAGATCACTGGGCATGAGTGACACTTTGAACTAAACCCTTGTAGATGCTGCTGGGACTTCTAAGCTTTATTACCTATGTAAATTATGTACAAACAGCTATTTCCATATGAAATGTATCTTGATAGTTTAGAGCAAAGATAGTGAACAACTGTACAAAATTTGATACTTAGAAAATAAAATCCAGTGGTCTAAGCTTTACCAATATTTTAACAAGACTGTCAGATTCGTAGTAGAAAATGTTGTTGTAAATGTATAAGAAAATACATTTCCTTTTGCCTCTGTATATTAATAGCTTTGTTTTCTATGTCAAAGCTCAAAATGAAGCATGTAATAAAACTTTTGTTAAAATCACTTTCATAATAAACATAAAATGGAATGGAAACACTCTCCTGCCATTTATTCCTGCATATGGAAGAGGGTCAGTGCACCAGTCCGATGTAGAAAGGTCTCAGAAGAGAACGCATCTTTTGGATTACCTTCATATATTTTGGTCTGGTTCACATCTGTAGACAACGGGGAGCTTTTCCTTTCCCATAGAGCAAGTGGAGTTTGTACGTGCTGGGACACTGAGCTTGTTCCTTCCAAAGAGACTTCAACAAGTGTTTTGCAGAGCAAGAACTCATGGCGGGAGTGAAGCAGCACATCACGCACCCCTCCCAGATCTTCAACAGTTTCTTAAAATTACTCCATGTCTATGTTTATCTCGCCCGGCTAAATTCTGACTGGCAGCAAGAAGTCAAATGCTGCCTTTTTCAGCTAATAGCAATCCATTTATGCAATGTGGGCAGTTACCCTAATTATGCTCCAAAGAAGTTACCACGTCACCTCTATCAGATTACGGATAGTGCCTCAAGATGGAGAACATGTGAGATGGCACCAGCGTAGGGAGGCCCTGAGGGAGGGTGGAAAGCTTCAGCTCCCTTTAGAGCTTTAGAGCACTAAAGGGGTTTTCTAAGGAAAAGGCAGCTCCCATCTAGGACACCAGAGCTGAATTCAAAACTGCCAAAAGGTCATTGCAAGTCAGATTAAATGCCAGTAATGTGCAACGTTGCACATAAGATTCTAGTTTAATGAAATAAGCTTGGAAAGATTAGCAGCGATCCATTCTTCTTTCAGAACTTCCAGCTTCTCAACGAGCTCACAAAATGTCATTTTAACACTTGGCCTGAACAACAGCACTCCTGAGTGAACCAGGAGGTAAGCGAAGGCAGATTTGGGAGAAATTCACTTCTGTGTTCAACCACCAGCAGCGACTGACTTACAAAAGTAAGTCCTGTACTTGTACAGTCCTGTACAATAATAATAAATGACTATTTTGCCTCTTAATATTAAAATGGACAAAGCTGTGGATCACCAAGATGTTGTGTAATACATGACTTCTTAACGTCTTCTAATCTTTTATAAAAGTTGCAAACTGCAACTCATTCTTGGAGACTTTTTAGCAGACAGTCCCCTAGCAGAGTGCCTTGTCCTTGCTCTGTCTTGTATCGCTATCCTTTAACCCCTATACTTCATGAAGTTACCGTGCCATTACTCCTGCTTATATTAAATGGCTGTACATGTTTACAAGACGCTCTAGTTTTAATGCTGGGCAAGTTGTTTTTCTGACAGTAAGGTTTATTTGATGACACAATAAGGCACTTACTGTAAAATCTCTGAGAAATATGTCTTTTTATGTTATTATTATTAGGCTCTCTTCTGTGCTGTATATTTTTACCTCTCTTCTGAAACAGTTTCTGTGATATCCTGCCCCCATGGGAGATTCTAACCTGAATAAAACCAGGAAAATTAAGTGGGAAGTGCACACCAGCCCTATGGGATCAGAGAGAACCATTCGTAATCAAGCTGGGAACTGCCGGGTTCCTGAAAAGTGGTGAGGCTCCAGTTGGATTTGTGAAGGGCAAATACTGCTTTGCATATGCCAACTCACAACGAATTCCTCCATTGCTGGCCCAAAGTGCTTTAATGTTGCTCGGCGTTTATCAGCTACAAGTTAACCTGTCCCCAGATGCAGAGAGAGGCACCAGCTCGCACACACGGCGGGCTGGCAGCCACAGCTCCTGCCCAAGGCGGGGTGGAAGTGCAGCTAATCAGCGAGAACGCACCAGCCCACGCTTGGCGAAAACAATGTAAATACCGTGTCGGAGCAAGAGCACATTCCCTTGCCTCCGGCCAGGGCATGTTCAGCGCAGGCCTGCTGAGCAACATGGAGTCTACCCCGCTTCTCTTATTTGGTGTGTTTTTTTTTTTTTTTTTTTTTTTTTTTTTTTTTTTTTTTTAGGTAATAGTCTCCTTTTATCATAACTGTAAAAGCGGTATTTTCTGGGAACTTTCTCATTTTTGTAAAGTCACCTGGCAGAAAAGAAGTAAACAAGCAAAACTCATTCAAATTAGCACAGCAAACAGCTCCAAACTCGAGACGTTTGTTCCGGTGGGCAAAATTATGCCGCTGTCAAATTGCCAACAGCCTTTTAACCTGATATACACGATACAGGCTGTGTAGAAATGTATCATGTGCATGCATAACAAGCCACTATGTATCAAGTCTGTAGCAGAGAGAGATGAGGGCAGGGTGGCACAAGCAGGTTTTGCCTTTTTTGCCCTGTAGGCGCCATCCCTCTGAAGACTGGTACGGGATCCATCCTCCCGGGTTTACCATCGCTGCGCAAAGGCACCACCATGGCCCTCCTCATTTCCCAGACCTCACTATTACTAAAAACGCCTGTGAACTCAGCATAGCGTGGCCGGAGCCCAGTGAAGGAACACGGGAAACTCCACTCGTGTTTCTATCTTTCATCTGGTAGATCTTAGCAGCACCCCAGCAGCGTGGTGACGCGGCCGGAGCACACGGTGAGGCAGGACGGGCTCGGCGGGGGAGGTTTGCCCACCGTTTACCACACAGACACCCAGCGCGAGGCTGGCGCCACGTCCTCGGCGCCCGCCGCGGCTCCTACCGCACCCGCGCCGCTTCCCCGGGCCCGGGGGGAGCGAAGGGCTGGCGAGAGCCGAGCTCGGGAGCCTTAGGCGCGTGACGCTATAAAAATACACATTAAGCACACATAAAAACACATCGTTTATTGCGCGTAGAGGAAGGCAGCGCTCGCCCCGCACTAACGGTAACCCCGGGGGCCCAACGGCAGCGGCCCCGCCCCGCGCGGCCCCGCCCCCACCCGGCA